ATTATGCTGATGCGGATGGTGGTGGGATGATGGTGATTGTGATCGTGGTGGGATGATGACGATGATGATGATGCTGATGATGATGATGATGATGACGACGACGATGATGATGATGATGATGATGATGCTGATGATGATGATGATGATGGTGATGACGATGGTGCTGATGGTGATGCTGATGTTGATGCTGATGCTGATGCTGATGCTGATGGTGGTAATATTGATGGTGGTGATGGTGGCGATGGTGGCGATGCTGATGCTGATGCTGATGCTGATGCTGATGCTGATGCTGATGCTGATGCTGATGGTGATGAGGACAACGAGGAGGAGGAGGAGGAGGAGGAGAAATGCGGAGGAAGGGGGGCAGAAGGAAGGAGGAGGAGGAGGAGGAGGGAGAGGAGGAGGAGGAGCAGGGCAGAACATTCACCCAGCGATGCTGCAGCATGCTCTCCCGCCCCCGTGTCCCCTCACCACCTAGCCTCACTGACAGTTCAACTTCACGAGGGGTTGCCTACGTCTTCAAATGCGAGATCCCCAGGGGCCAGCCATTCCAGCGAGAGCTGCTTTTTGGAAAAGGAGCCGCTTTACGTTATTCTATATGAAAGAGAATCGCGGGTAGGATCAGAAAGCCGAAGTAGACGGCCAGCAAGAGCCTGGTTTGGGAAAAGGAGCCGGCCTCCATCCGTGTACGTGTTGCACGAGCGAAATCGAATTGCCATCAGCAGTTCGGACAAACTTCACGCGAGCGCCCTGTTCTGAGAAAGGCTGCGGGTTCTGAGCAATTGATTGTTGGACATCGGGGGTGGCCTCCAGGAACTCCCCGAGACATGGACCTCCGAATGGGTCGGGCGCCTCGTGCTGTAGGGGGGGCGATGAGAGGAGGGGGGCTCGGGGGTTGCAAGAAGTGGGCCCTGCAGGGGCCCCCTTGGGCCCCGAAGGTTCACGAACGGCGCACCAGTGTCCTCCACCCCCATTTGAGCAACGCCCACTCAAACGTGTGCGTATCACGATTGTCCCCACCAAACGTTTTTGTTCATGCTGGGGCTCACGTGCCGGTCGGCCGTTGACAGCAGGTAGTTCTGGATTCTCTGACCTCCATCTCTTTTGGGCGCCCTCTGCTATTAAGTCGGGCCTGTCCCTCTACAGGGGGAATGTTCAAACATAGTCAAAACATAGTCTGGGGACTATTTTCCGGGTATTGTTTGACCAGTTTGGAGTATTTGTTGAGTATGTTTTATTTTTCGTCGAAAATCCCCTTGTAGGGGGACACGCCCGACTTTATTCTACTACCGTCAACGGTCGAGTGCGTTCCCCTCGTCCTTCCCCTTCCAGGGGCGGGCGGAAGCCCCCTCTGCTTCCAACGCCCTCCTGCTGCATGCAGGAGGAGGGAGGAGGGAGGAGGAGGGAGGAGGTTGGGAGGAGGAGGGAGGGAGGGAGGAGGGAGGGGGAGGAGGGAGGAGGGAGAGGAGGAGGAGCGGAGGAGGAGCGGAGGAGGAGGAGGAGGAGGAGGAGGAGGAGGAGGAGGCGGAGGAGGAGGAGGGATGAGGGAGGAGGGAGGAGGGAGGAGGGGAGGGGGAGGAGGAGGAGGGAGGAGGGATGAGGAGGAGGAGGGAGGAGGAGGAGGGAGGAGGGAGGAGGGGAGGAGGGAGGAGGGAGGGAGGAGGAGGGAGGAGTGAGGAGGAGGGAGGAGGGGGGAGGAGGGAGGACGAGAGGAGGAGTGAGGAGGGAGGAGGGAGGAGTCCCCCGCCCACTCTTCCCACTTCGGACGGGAGCCCCGCCCAGGAGGCCGCCGCCCGTTCGGCGGCGGCCCCCTCGCGGCGCGCGGCGCAACCGCGCCGCCGCTCCCGAGCCAGCGGCCCGCCTACCGTGCTTGCCGCCGCCTGCCGCGGCGCAAAGATGAAGAATCGATCACAGGGCCGCCGTCCAGCCCGACCAGGCCGCTGCCCGACCGCCGGCCCTCGCTGCCGCCCCAGCCTTGCAACGCCGCCTCCCTCGCCCCGGCGGCGAGCGAAGGGGGGAAAAGTGAGATAGGAGAGGCCTTTTTCCCAAGATTGGCGGCGGGATTTTTCTCAGAAGGACCCTCGCTTCTCGGCCCCTTTCTGAGAAGCTGTTTCTGTCTGCGGGGAAGGCTTAGAAGACTTCTCAGAAGTCCGGGGGACTTCCGAGCCTTCTGAGAAGGCACGCCGCTTCTCACTTCCCCCCCTGGCTCGCCGCCCATCTCCCCAGAGATGCGAGGCTCCGCAAACATCGGAGCGGCCGGTGTCTGGCTATTTTCGGCCTCCAGCGGCTCTCCACAGGCCCCGGGGCCGTCAGACAACTGGTGGAGACGAAGAGCCAGCCCTGCGTGGGGAAGCGGTCGAGGCCTCGGGGGGGTCCAGGTCATGAACGAGTCATGACGTCGGGTGTCTGGGCCCCCAGCCTGGACGGCAACGCCACATCGCTCACCCTCCGGATCTTCGCCTCCGGCCCCTGTCCGCGGCGTACCTTTTCCTGTGCAAGCTCTTCGGCACCGCTTGCACCCCGGGCCCCGCCCACTCCGGCCGCCTGAGGCCCCGCCCGCTTGTGCCCTGTCTCCCTAATGAAAGCTGTGCGTAGCCCGCCTAGCTTTTAGCGGAAGAGGTTCGCTCTCGCCCCGCCGACCAAAAAAGTGCCTGGGCCCCCGGGACCTCCGACCGCGTGGTTTTTCCAACCGCAGCGCGTGTTCCCTCACTGCGGCCTCCGGGAGCCGCGTACGGGCCCCGCGGCCCTCGGACAATGCGTCCGGGGCGCCAACCTGCCCCATGGGGAAGCGGTCAGATGAGCCCTAGGGGCCACCCGCCTGCGGCCCTCGCCGCCGCCGCGCCGTTGCGTCGCCCTCGCCTCCCGAAAATGCTGGCGGGGGCGGAGGCGTTCAGGGGCAACGTCAGGGGGGGGAAAGGCTCGGGGGGGGGATGCGTCGACCCCCACTCGCCCATTCATCGCCGACAGGGCTTTCTTCACCAAGAACAGAAGTACCACTACCACCAGCCAGGGGGGTGGCCCGCTCCTCCCCCTCGTGCTGGTGGCACCTCGCTTCGGGCATGCCTCCAGAGAGTTCGCGGAAGGAGGTGCCACCAGCTCGAGGGGAGGGAGGGCCACCCCCCTAGCTGGTGGTAGTGGTACGTTTGTCTCTCCTGATTTACAGCGCCTGAGAACGATCGGATTCGCGAAGGAGGGGCCTATCGCCGATCTATCGGCGATGCATCGCCGAATCCAGCTCAATGTTTCCCCCCCTGGGCTGGTCCTTCCTAACGTTGCACCAAGCACTGTTTGCAGAAGCCCCTAAAAGAAAAAAGGTCCCCCCTAACGTTGCCCCTCATCCTGGGCTCTCTGGCCCGACCCCGCCCTCTCGTTGCGCTGGCATCGCAGAGGAGGATCGTCGCCCAGTGTCGGCTTCTGGGGGCCCTCGCTGGGCCACGGGACCGTCAATTGGTGGCTCAGGATGACAATGTTTGAAGGGGCCCTGGGACACACAAATAAATACACACAAATAAAAAGATTCCCTATAGTTTCACATCTTTTGGGGGTTTTGGTCTTTCCCCCCACTTCCAATATTTCTGCATATTTCCTGGGAGTCGACGATTAATTGTGTCTGTGTGTTTTTTTGTCCCTCCTGAATGTTGTCCCTTGGAAGGGGTCCAGAGCTCTGGGGGGCCACGCTGTGACGAAATCACGACGGAGGATGTCTGGATCCTGGGCTCTGGCCCGAGCTCGACGGGCAGCGAGAGCTTCGAGGCAGCTCATTTCTGGTGGCCAGGTGACGCTGTCGTGGGGCTATCCTGCCCTGGTTTGTGCCTGCTCGTCTGCCTCCTCCTTGTTACCCACTTCCTCCTCCTCCTCTCCCTCCTCCTCCTCCTCCTCCTCCTCCGCCTCCTCCTCCTCCTCCTCCTCCTCCTCCTCCTCCTCCTCCTCCTCCTCCTCCTCCCACCCCTCCTCATCCACCCCCGCGTCCCCACACATTCCTCACATGTTCCGTTCTCTCCACCCTTTTGCTCCTCCTCTCCCTCACCCTCCACCATCCTCCTCACATCCTTCCTCTTCCTACTTCCCTTCCCCATCCCACACCAGCTCCGCTTCCTCCGCCTCCTCCTTCGCCTCCTCCCACGCTTCCGCCTCGGTTTCTCCCATCGCCTCCCCATGCTCCCCCTAGAAGCGTTGCAGTGGAGGTCGATCGCCACTTGGCCCTGATTGCGAACGGTTCGGGCTGCTGCGGTGAAGTGCAAAAGCCCCTTCCATTCCCCGCCGCTTCCGCCGCCCCCCCCGATGTCCCTCCGCCGCCCCCCCTCCGATGTCTCGGTTTGTTCAAGTCGGTGCCCCCAGAAGTCCCGATCCGTTCCCCAGGGCTGGCTTCGACAAGTGCCCGCTCGGGACGACTCGGGCACCCCTGGAATGCGCTCGGCGAGGCGCAGCCGTTCGGGAGCATTCCGACGCGAGGAAACCTGAACGGTAATGTCCGAGACATTCGTCCATCAGCGTGCAATGCACCTGTGAAGTCGCAGTCGCACGTGATGCAAGTTTTGGGGGCCGTCCCGTTCACAGTCGCACCATGCATTGGTCATTGGTTCGTGCTCGCACCACCCAGACATCCGACGCGCTGATTTTCTCCACGTTCCGACTTTTTCCGCCGATGCGGCTCGATGTGGCGCCCGAATTTCTTCACGCCAGCGTCGCCGATGCGCCGCCGACGTCGCCGATGCATCGGCGATGCGGCGCGACCTTCCGACCCCATCTGCTCTGGCCCCCATCTGGGAGGCCGCTACAGTCGGTGCGCTGAAGAAGGAACCCTTCTCGTCGGGGAGGGGCTCCGTGTTCCTTAATTGTTTCGCAGCTTGCCTCAGATGTTCCCCATGTTCTCGATGGGAAATCGAAGTTCTTACGTATGGAAAATAGGGGCCTCGTTCCTTAGTTAGGGTTCCTTGGGTCAGCGCCCCGACTGCACCTCTGCCAGCCCCCCCCCCCGGGCCCGCCCCTCCCCCTCCGAGGCGGGGCGCCGCCTCCCAGCAGCACCCGCCGCAGCTGGGCCTCGCCCCCGCGCTGCTGGCGGCGCCAGGCGCGGGGCGCCGCCCGGCCCCCGGGTGGCGGAGGTCGGCGTCGCTCGGCCTCACGGTGCGGCGCTGGCGTCGGAGAGATCGGGTGCGATGTGGCGCCGCGGGCCCGCTTGCAGTGGGGTCGCGCATCAATAAATTGGTACAGTCGGGGCGCTGAAGAAGGAACCTTTTTCGTTTGGGAGGGGCTCCGTGTTCCTTGGTTGTTTGATTGTGTGCCTTAGTTTGACCTTCGGTGTTCGAGTGGAAATCGAGGTTAAACTTACGGAAAGAATGGGCCTCGTTCGTTCTTTAGGTCAACGCCCCGATTGTACCTTGTACTTTGGGTTTCTTCGCTTCGCGCGCTGCGCGGTGACCTCCCGCGTCCGCGAAAGAGCCTGTGGCGTCCCAGGCGCACCTCGCGCGTGTGTCTTCAGGGCTGGGCTTCTTGCGAAGGCGTCTTGCGGCCGCGTCCACACTGTATTGCACGCTATCCCCGACCTCGGGCACAGCGTGCACCGAAGAAGCCCTGGCAGGGAGACGGCGCGCACAGAGGAGGCCCTCGCGGGGGGGAATGCTTCATAGGGATAGCGTGCGTTTCGGAGGTCGATGTGGCGCGTTATCTCTCCGACGCCGACCGTAAGAGTGACCTTCTCAGGGGCGCAAACTCAGGGGGGGGGGGTCAACATCCTCGCGTCGCGAGAACGACACGACGGACGTTGTCTTGCTCTACGATTGTCGTCCTCTGGGGGGCCTCGCCTGGCCATGGGATCCCTGGGATGGGGTCGAGATCTCCGTGGGGCGCGCGCCGTTTTTTTTGTTGGTCCAGGGGTGAACTCAGGGGGGGGGGGGGCCTTCTGCACCGACCCTAATCGCCCACTCGTCATCCTCCTCCTCCTCCCCTCCTCCTCCTCCTCCTCCTCCTCCTCCTCCTCCTCCTCCTCCTATGCCTGATAGCCCACCCCACCCAGGAACGCGCGTGCTTGCTGCCGAAGGCCCATCGCCGACCTGTCGGCGATAGGCCCGACGCTTCGGGCTCGATGCTTCCCCACGGAGCCACGCTGCGAACAGCAGAGCGCGACGGAGGATGTCTGGGAGGGCGGCGGGGGGAGTCCTGGCCGCGGGGGGGGGCGGGGGTGGGGGGGGGGCGATCCCTGGGTCGGGCAGCACTGGGCTGCCCGCCCGGGCAGGCGGCCCGCGGACGGGGAGCCGCGGGGCAGAGGAGAGGGGCGGGAGGGAGAGGAGGGGCGGGAGGAGGAGGAGCAAGAGCCCGCTTTTCCTTTTTCAGTCCGGGCGGCAGCGCTCGGGATCGCCCCCGCCCCTCCCCTCCCCCCCCCCCTCCCCCCGATCACGTCGCGCCGTGTCCCCCCACATGTCTCTCAAGGAGTCTTCCAGCTTCCAGGGCTTCCAGAGAGTCTCAAGGGTTTCTAGCTCCCTGGATGGGAGGTGGACGGGATGCGGGAGGAGGGCGAAGGCCTTCGAGGGAAGCGGCAAGCGGAGGGCGCCCCCCCCCCCAGGCGCGGCGCCCGCCGCCTTGCCGGCGCACCAGTGCGAGGCGGACTGCAACGGCCACGGCGCCTGCACGGTGGTGGACGGAGCGCTGGCGTGCAGGTGCCACGAAGGCGCCGATCGGCGGCGGCGAGCAGAGGCGACGGCGACGGCCTCGGCGACGGCCTCGGCGGCGTCGTGGGCAGCGGGGAGGATGAGGCGGGGTAATTACAGGGTCCGGCTCGAATAAGGAACACTTGCTTTTCAAAAGGGGCTCGGTCGTTCCGTTGGTTTGCATGCGTTCCGTTACCTTTTTGGCGGCGAGCCCCCTTGGTGTTCCTTCGGGCTTCGTAGACTTACTTGGGCAAAAAGGGGCTTCGTTCCTTATTTTTCATTCCCTAGATCAGGCCGAGTACTGTACGGTAGGTTCGGGTCGTGCCGACCTGCGGCGACCCCGACGCCGCGTTCAGACCCCCCGAGACCAGGGCAGTGGCACATCGGGAAAGCTACACCCTTTCCTACAACGTCAGATTTGGATCGTCCAGTGCATTTCTTTGTTGCTGCGGTCGTCCAATGCATTTTTCTTTTGCTGCACTGCAGGATTCGGGTCATTGTCCGGGATAAGGGGAGGTTTTGCAGGCTTTCATTGACTTTGTCCGTGTTTATTCCGGGAGTGTTGCAGCGCAGTGTTTTGTCCGTGCCGCCCTCTTGTGCAGTGCAGTTTCTTGTTCGTGCCACCGTCGGGAAAAATTGTTCTCGAGGTAATTCTGCTGTATGTCCTGATCTAGCGTGTCTGGGTTTAGAGGGCCCTGAGGCGTTCAACGTGGAACGCCGCCAGTGACCCAGAATCGGTCGATGCTAAACGACTGGACGTTTCGGAGACGGCCGATCGTTCAAGGTTGAACGATCCTCGCGGTGTAAGGAACCAACGCCAGGGTCGGCACGACACGAACTTGGCGTATGTGGTACGAATGCGCGCAGGGGCATCTTGCTTTTCCTCCTGCTCGGCATCCTCCCTGCCTGCCGCTCGTCGTGCTCGTGGTACTGCTGCTCCCTCTCCTCATCATCGCCCTCCTTCCCGATTCCCCCCATGGTCTGCGTCCCCCTCCTCCTCCTCCTCCTCCTCCTCCTCCTCCTCGACCTCCTCCTCATCGTCCTCGACCTCATCATCCCCTCTCGCCTTCCTCGCCCTCCTCCTCGACCTCCTCACCCTTATCCGCCGTCTCCCCATCCTCCTTTACAAGAACCGCATGGCATGCTTCTCATCAGTAATGGCACAAACAATAGGCGGGGCAGATTGCAGACTGACCACATTGAGGCAGAGCGTTGGTAGCCATGGCGCCGTTTGAGTACAAGCAGGGCAAGAGCCATTGCGCCTTGTCAAGGCCTGGCGGCCAATAGATGTCTTTTTCCTGTGGCCAGACCAAGAGTGCTTTGGGCTGAATGCGTGTGCTCGTGTGTTTGTTGTGGATTTGTCGGCTTGTGGGGTGTTTGGGTGTGTATGTTCGTGGGTTTGTGTGCCTGTGTGTTTGCGTGCGTCTGTGTGTGCTTGTGTGGTTGTGTGTGTGTTTTGTGTATGTGTGTGAGTTGTGTGTGTTGTGTGTATGTATGTGCGGTGCTTGTGTGTGTGCTTGGGAGGCGTTCAGTCGATGGCCTTTGGCAGATGCTTGGCCACTGCCCGGTCTAAACCAGTTTTCGTTTGATGGGCGCCCTGGCATTTTCTACACATCCAGGCTCGGGGGAACCCCTTCTGCGTATTCGTGAGGGGAGGACGGAGGGGGGATGAGGGCTATAGATCTGTTTTATGCGGGCTTGACTTGGGGGGTAGGAAGGGAGGTGGCTGGTCGCATCACGATTCGCTCGGGCGAATGTTTCGGAATGACACGGCGCCAGCGCGAATCGTGACGTGAGCAGGGAGCGGCAGAAGTTGTAGAGGGTGGGGCTGGTCACGGGTATTATCGCGAATCATATAAACGGGCTCGTGCGGGGGGTCGAAGAAGGGGGGGGGGAGGAGGAGGAGGAGGAGGAGGAGGAGGAGGAGGAGAAGAAAGGAAGAGGAGGAGGAGAAGGAGGAAAAGGAAGAGGAAGAGGAAGAGGAGGAGGAGGAGGAGGAGGAGGATGGGGTGGAGGAGATGGAGGAGGAGGACGAGGAGGAGGAGGAAGAAGCAGGGCGGAAACGTACACGTTTAGTTCTTCACAGTCAAGAACGCCACAGGTCTCCACTTAAGACTTACTGAACGTAAAAAGGAGGATGAGGAACTGGGGCAAGAAGACTGAACGGGAAAGGGGAAGCATACATGTTGGAAGAGGGTACGGACGACGAGGAAGGAGAAAGAACAAGGAGGAGGATCATGAAGAAGACGAATGTCGAGGGAGAAAGAAGGAGGAGGAGGAGGGAAGAGACGGAAAAGGGAAGACGGAGGGGGATAGGCTCAGGGGGAGGGTGTAAAAGAGCGTGTTTTGCAGTCGCTTCAGGGAGGGTTCTGGTTGTCGACGTCGTCGCCGTCGCCGTCGTGCCGTCGTCGTCGTCGTCGTCGTCGTTGCGTCGTCGTCGTCATCGTCGTCGTCGTCGTCGTCGTCGTCAACGCCGCGTCGTCGTCCAGGGGGGGCCATGAAACGAGCTCTCTCGAACATATCGACCCCCAATCGCCCTTTCGTCGCCAATATGGGCCTGCTAGCCCGCCCCGCCCAGGAGCGTGCGATCTCGCTGTCGGCGCTGGGCTCACCTGAGTTTATCTTCATCAGAGTTTATCATCATCCTGGCTTCGTTTTACCCTGTTGTTTGGTGGAGTCTCGCGCAACCTCTCGGTTCTCCTCTCGTCTGCGCTCCGCTCGGCGTGGGAGGTGGGCGGAGGGGGGTGGCAAGGGCAGGGGGGGGGGGGGGGCAAGGGCGTGGAACGGGCGTCAAAGTCGAAGAAGAAAAGGAAACCATGCTATGAGCAGGAACTTTCGGAGGCTGGACCCCCCTGGCGGCGCCTCCGGCGCCGCCCCTGGCGCGCTCCGCGCTCCAGTGATAAGGGGGTCCAGCGCCGGCCGAAGGATTCCGCGTCGACCTCCGAACACTTCTGTCCATGTGGATGTTCCTTCTTCTGGTGTCTATATGGCGACTGGGGGTGTCCTAGGGGACCTCCATGCCCAAACAGCAGTTGCAGGATTTGACCCAACAGCTGTTGCGTAGTCGGGAGAGGGCCTTACCTACAGACTTGGCTCCAAGAAGAGCTTCCTTGGAAACTCGCAAGAAAAAATAAATGTATGTGCACCCATCGGCCAGATGAAATGTTGCGCGCGCGTGCTCGGCGCTCGCACGCACGCGATCCCAATGGCCACAACATTAGTCAAGGAGGGCCTCAGGCCACGGACGATAACGTCCAGACGACCCATGGATTCTGGACCGTGTCAGGCCGACTCGAAGATGACCAAACACATGAGCAACGAGTGACGTCGAGATGGCCCGATGGCAGCAAGATGGGTACAAGTGCGCCCAGGTGGCCCCTGAATGACCACGCGACGGCTGCGTGATCCACTCATGACCTGAATATGATCTCAAGATGACCTCATGACGACCCCAACAGGCAGGAACACTGCAACTTCTGAGCCCCATCTTACTTCGAGCCGATCCCAGCACGGCGGGATCCGTGAACGACCCGCGGCTCCAGTTTACAGTACCAGTGGGACTCTGACCGTCCTGAACTGAAGTTATAAGTTTAATAATGAAAGGGCATCAGCTAGACGAGGTCTCGCCCGGCCCACGGACGATGACTATACATTGCTAGGCTTCTACGGGGGTCGGGGGCGGCAAAGAGGGGGGTGGTAACTAGGGGGGGGATATCATGGCGGGGGCCATGATATGTCCCCAGATTTCGCGGCGCCTCTTCTTATTTCATTACGTCCTTGCCCCTCCCCGCTGGGCCGTGCACATGCCGCCGGTCATGATTTGCACTCCCCCCTCTTGGACACCCCCCTCTTGGCCGCTCCCGATTCTACGGGGGCAGGGAGGGAGGTTCGGAAGGGGTGCCATTAATTTCCGCTCTCTTCCGCAGGCCTTCCACCGTCTCTTCCGCCTCGTCTTGCTTCCGTCGATGTCCGCTGGTGAGCGCCGTGGTGAAAATCCAAGGCACTTTCACTGGGCCGATGTAGGATCGGGGGCGACAAAGAGGGGGGTGATGACTAGGGGGGGTTGGATATCATGGCGGCGGGCCATGATATTTCCCCAGATTTCGCGGCGCCTCTTCTTATTTCATTACGTCCCTGCCCCCCCGCTGGGCTGCGCACGTGCCGCAGGTCACGATTTGACCCCCCCCTCTTGGACACCCCCTTGTTGCCGCTCCCGACAGGAGGGGGACCAGCAGCAGCAGGAGCCCGAGGCGGAGGAGGAGCAGGGAGGAGGTGAAGAGGAGGAGGAGGAGGAGGAGGAGGGACCAGCAGCAGCAGGAGCCCGAGGCGGAGGAGGAGCAGGGAGGAGGTGAAGAGGAGGAGGAGGAGGAGGAGGAGGAGGAGGAGGAGAAGAGGGGGGAAAGGGGGAGGGGGGGGGAGGAGGAGGAGGAGGAGGCGGAGGAGGATGAGGAGGAGAGGAGGAGGGAGGGAGGAGGTAGGAGGAGGAGGAGAGGAGAGGACGAGGGAGGAGGAGGAGGAGGAGGAGAGGAGGAGGAGGAGAGAGGAGGAGGTGCAGGAGGAGGAGGATGGAGGAGGAGGAGGAGGAGGGAACGAGGAGGACGAGGAGGAGGGGGAGGAGGAGGAGGAGGAGAGAGGAGGAGGAGGAGGGAGGGGAGAGGAGAGAGAGAGGGAGGAGAGAGAGGAGAGAGGAGAGAGGAGGAGGAGGAGGTGGAGGAGGAGAGGAGGAGGAGGAGGAGGAGGGGAGAGGAGGAGAGGAGGAGGAGGAGGAGGTAAGGAGGAGGAGGAGGAGGGGAGGAGAGAGGAGGAGAGGGAGAGGGAGGAGGAGGAGGAGGAGGACGAGGAGGAGGAGGTGGGGCAGGAGGAACTGGAGGGCCAGGATGGTCCGCGCAGCACGGAGGAGGGGGCGAGTGGACCCACGGCCGCAGCGGGAGCTGTCGGAGGACCGCGAGTGCCCCGATCGGAGAACGACGCAGCAAACATCAGCACTGAAACCCTCCTCCTCCTTTTCCTCCTCCTCCTCCTCCTTCTCCTCCTCTCCTCCTCCTCCTCCTCCTTCCTCTTCTCTCTCCTCCTCATTATCATCCTTTCCTCCTTTCCTCCTTCTCTCCCTCCTTTCTTCTATACTCCTTCCCCTCCTCATCCTCCTCCTCTCCTCCCCTCCTCCTTTTTGCTCCTCCCTCCTCCTCCTCCTCCTCCTCCTCCTTTCCTCCTCCATTTCCTCCCTCCTCCGGCCTCCTCCTCCCCTACTCCCCCTACGTGCCCCTCCTCCTCCTCCCCTCCTCCTCCTCCTCCTCCTCCTCCTCCTCCTCCTCCTCCTCCTCCTTCCCTGCGTGTCGGAGGATCAAACAAACGCTAGAAAGGCGCGAGTGCGGTGGCAAATTATCAGGGCAGAGCGGAGGGTACTTTTCAGACTGAGTGGTTGCAAGGTGAGGGAGGAGCGACGAGGAGGGCGTGGGCAGGCTGAAGGAGGACTTGCTGAAACGGAGACTACATATACGAAGACGAGGAGGAGGAGGAGGAGGAGGAGGAGGAGGAGGAGGAGGAGGAGCAGAAAGAAGACGAGGACGGCGAGGACGATGAGCATGATGAGATCGAGGACCTCAGAGGTGCCTGGGGGACCCCAGGGGCCCGAACAGAGCCTAAAAACATCAACAGTTGATCAAAGGCGTCCGAGAACCTCTCCCCCTCGATCCTCGAGGGCCGAGGGCAAAACTTGGCATCCCTCCCCTGGGCTCCGTTCCAGGCCGCTCAGGGCCCACACGGGGCCAGAGCAAACGGGGTCGGAGGATCGCGCCGCACCGCCGGTGCATCGGCGACGCGGCTCGATTCGGAGCCCAACTTGCTCTGTCCCGACGTCGCCGACGCCTCGTCGATGCATCGGCGATGCGGCGCGATCGTCCGAACCCACATTTTATGGCCCCATGTGTCGGGTATAGCCAGGACCCCAGGTAAGGGGACACGGTTAGTGGTAACGCCCCGGAGCCCCTATATTGGCCAGAATCACTGAACCAGATCTACCGTAATTTGTGTTTTTTCGGGTGACGGCAGTTCCGGTTAGTGGAACGGGGCGGGGGGGGCGTCCCCCAGTACACATCACTAAACCAGGTCCCACTAAACCCAGTTCTGCCAACGCCCGAATTTGGGCGGCCTCCACTCCCAGCTTCCCCCGGGACCCCATGCAGCCGAGAGCCCTGGCCCCAGGGTGGGTCGGCATGCTGTGCGACATGCGGCGCTGCCCCCACGACTGCCACGGCCAGGGCGTGTGCGTCGGAGGCACCTGCGTGTGCTCCCAGGAGCGCCCCGACTCCTCCCCGCCACCATGATCATAACCATCACCGTCCCCGTGCTCCTTTCGTCGCAAAGCAGGAAATGACGAACCAACAACACACACCCATACCCATAGAGGGGTCGGAGAGGGTTATGGGTGCGTGTTGTCGGATGGGGGTCCCCGCTCGAACGGGAGCGTTCCCCAGGGTCCGACAACCCGCACCCATACCCATAGCCAGTCCTCCTCCCAACGACCCCCCTATGGGTATGGGTGTGTGTTGCTCGTTCGTCAGGAAACACTGCATGGCTGCATGAACTTTTGGATGCGCGCGGATCTCTGGAGCCCGCGCCGGACTCCCTCGGCGGCGCCTCTGGAGCCGTCCCTGGCGCGCTTCGCGCGCCAGGGGAGGGGGTCCAGCGCCGACCGAAGAAATCTGCGCGGACCTCCGAAAAATGATCTGTATGCCGCGGTGGGTGTCTATCAAAGACGCCTACGGCGAATCGCCGCCGCCTTCTGCCTGTTAGGATACGCCCACGTGGTTGCACGTTTGGACGAAGTTTGGCCACGCTATTACCATGCGTTCCCCCAGCCGTTGTGGAAGCCCTTCGGGAATAATGCGGGGGAGGAAGACGAGGGAGGCCTCTTGGGAGTTTCTTTGGTCGTTCTTGGGGCCTCCTTGGGCCTGTTGGCGGCCAGTAGGGCCCCAAGCAGATCCAAGCGGGAGCTCGCCATCCCTGGAGGGAGTGCGAATTATGAATGTGTTGTCATTTTTGAGGGCTGCTGGGGAGGGCAACACAGTGGGGTCCCACGCAGATTCCAACGAGAGGTCGCCATCCCTGGGGGGGCTGTGAAGTGTGAATTTGTCGCCACTTGCGAGGGCTGCTGGGGAGGGCACCACATTGGGGCCACGCAGATCCAAACGGGACCTCGCCATCCTGAGGGGGGCTGCGAAGCGTGAAGCGGGTCACCACTTTCGAGGGCTGCTGGGGGGGGGGCCAGGGGACCTCGCCGTCCTTGGGGGGCAGCGACGTGTGAAACTGCAGCCACTTTCGAGGGCTGCATGGGGGGGCAGCACGGTGGGGTCCCACGCAGACCTCGAGGGCCTCGCCACCCCTGGGGGAGGGGGGAGGGTGGGCGAGACCAGGGCCCTAAAGAAAACCGCGCGGGCCCTCCGCCACATGTTGGCTCCCTGACGCCGGGGATGCCCGCCGGGCCTTCCGCAACATGGTGCCTCCCCAACGTAGGAGGCCGTTCGCCGGGCCTTCCGTACCACGCTAGCGTCCCAACGTATCATATAGGGGGGGGGGATTTACGCCGGGCCTTCCGCCGCGTGGTGGTACCCCTCGCCGGGCCTTCCGCAGCACGGTGGCTCCCCAGCGTAGGAGGCTTTTCGCCGGGCCTTCCGCAACACGGGCCTTCCGCAACACGGTAGCGTCCCAACGTAGGGGGGGGCTCTCCGCTGGGCCTTCCGCAGCACGTTGGCTCCCCAACCTACGGGGCTGGCCTCCTACGCTGTTCAGGGTCTCAGGGTGTTAGGGTCTTAGGGTCTCTGGGTCTTTGGGTCTTAGGGTCTTAGGGTCTTAGGGTCTTTTGGGTCTTAGGGTCTTAGGGTCTTGGGGTCTTGGGGTCTTAGGAACTTCGGGTCTTAGGGTGTTCGGGTCTTAGGGTCTTGGGGTCTTGGGGTCTTAGGGTCTTGGGGTCTGGGTCCTAGGGTCTGAGGGTCTTAGAGAAATTTCATTCGCCGCCTCGGAGGTTCCAAGATGGCCTCTTGGGCGCCTCTTGGGCGCTTCCATCGGCAGCGAAGAAGCGAGAAGCCATTTAACGTTGAGTTGTCTTTTGGTTTTGAAGGAATTGGGCCTTTGGGGAGGTGCCTTGGGAGGGGGGAGTGGCTCTTGGAACCGTCTTGGGGCGTCTTGGAGGCTTGCCGGAGGCTGTCGTGAGCGATGCTTGGGTATCTTGAGCCATGTTGGAGGCCCTCTTGGGCTGTCTTGGGCCCTGTTGGAGCCATCTGGGGCCATCTTGAGTGATCTGACGGCTCCGTCCTCCCCCTTCCCAGGCCCAGGGGAGGGGGAGGGGGAGGGGTCGAGGACCCCCCTTCGCCCGCAAGCCGCCTCGCTCACTCCCACCCGCCCTCCCAACGCAGAATTATCACCCGAGGGAGTCTCAGCACATTGCTTCTTAGCGCCACGCATGCCATGTGCGCCACGGGTTCCAGGTGCACCAGGGACCTTGGAGCCCCAAGCGAGCCAGGCGCGCCAGGTGCCGCTCGTGCTCGACGTTTGAGCTATACGCCGGCACCACCGCCGTCCCTGTCAGAAACCAATGCAAAGTGGTCGCGGGGCGCCCGCGCACGCTCCGGATGTGGAGGCAAAGTGCGTGCTGTACAATTGTTTGACAGGGATGGCCGGCTTGCGCGCAGCGAGCAACATGACGGCACCCCCGCCGCCCCTGTCAAAAACTAATGCAAAGTGGTCGCGGGGCGCCCGCGCACGCTCCAGATGTGGAGGCGAAGTGCATGTTATATTGATTGTTGACACGGATGGTTGGTTTGCGCGCAGCAAACAATATGACGGCACCCCCGCCGCCCCTTTCAAAAACCAATGCAAAGTGGTCGCGGGGCGCCCGCGCACGCTCCAGATGTGGAGGCGAAGTGTGTTTAGTATTATTTTGTTGACACGGATGGTCGGTTTGCGCGCAGCAAGCAATATGACGGCACCCCCGCCGCCCCTGTCAAAAACCAATGCAAAGTAGTCGCGGGGCGCCCGCGCTTGCTCCAGATTTTGAGGCGAAGTGCATTCTCTATTGTTTTTCTGAAAGGATTTGTGGGGGGCGTGTCTCGGGTGAACCCGCAGCCAGGTTGGGGAGGCGGTGTATGTCAGCAGTGGTCAAGCTACCCACCCGCCCGCAAGCCGTCGTGTTCATTCCCGCCCGCCCTCCCAACACAGAAGTAACACCGGGGTGTCAGCATATCGCGTGAGAACGCCGCAGAAGCCACGGGTTCCAGATGCACCAGACACCCTGGAAGTCCAAGCGTGCCAGGCGCGCCAGGTGCGGAACGTGCTCCACGTGCGCCCAGTGTTCCGCGTGCTCCAGCCGCGCAAGGTGCGCCAGCCACTAGGCACCGCTGGGGCCTCCACCGTCGTGCGCCGCAACTGCTGCTGCCACGCCAGCAATGGCGCACGCCCCAGCTCATGCCCGTGGCTGCCGGCCACCGCGCGCGCCCCCCCCACCCACGCACGAGAAGGCGCGCGGCCTGACACGCCAACCCACCGGTGTGCACCGAAGCATCCTCGTCGAAACGCAATGCAAAGTGCACGCATCGGCATTCGCACTCCCGCCGTGCCAGTTGCAGGTTCAACTGCGACGGGGAAGCTCCGCGGCTCTGCGCGTCGCGCGCGGCCAGGCGACGCGCCCATGGCAGAGGTTCCGGGGGTCGGGGCGCCTCCAGGCACGGCAGACGCTTGGGCTTTTTTGTTTGTGGCCATTTGGAGGCCTCCCCCTCCGGGGCCCTCAAAACCGCCTCTCGGGGCCCCTTTAGCGCCTACTTGGCCAGGTTTGGAGTTTTTGTTGGCCAGGGTTGGGGCCATTTGGAGGTTTCGAAGGGCCATCGGAAACGAAAAGGCGAGACGGCAGCAGCCATTGATTTGTCAAAGCAGTTGGTCGACCACCTGCGCCCGGAAGGCAGGTGGGATCTGTTGGCACCCTGGCCGTCCTCGTAAATTATACATACGACATACGAAGTGGTTGCGGGGCGGCCGCGCATGCTTCAACTGTGGAGGCAAAGTGTGTGTTTTATTGTTTTCGACAAGGATTGTGAGGGGGGGATCATGTGGTCGGCATTGCTCCGGGTTGGCTGCCGGCCGGGTGGGGGAGGGGGTGTGTACTAATAGGGAACAGTGATATCCCCCTCCCCCGAGCAGGGGAAGGAGGGGTTGTGGCAGGGAGCTCCCTTAAACCACTCAGCCCACAGGGCTCGTGGGAGTTGTGCGATGGGTCGCGCCACCGTGCTGAGACATGGCATGCCAATTTCGATTTCGGCTAGACGCATGAGGCTCCCAGATGCTATAGCCTCAGCGCGTGCGGGGCGCGCACGTCAAGATTCTGATCACAGGTGCATGCAGTCAACCCGCACAGTAAGGATGGGCGACGTTTCAAGGCTACCCTTGCATCCTTGTCCCTTCGGCCCAGCCTTGGTAACGTTCGCTGGCCAACCCCTGTCGAAAAACGTTCACTTGGCCCTCCATGACCTTGCATCCTTAAAGCGCATCCTTCTTACACGGGTTGGCTGTACCGTGGCCTTCTTCCTGATCCTTTTCCTCGTCCTAACCTTTCAATTCTGCTCCTCCTGGTCCGCCCACACCTCGCCCTCGTCGTCCTCCTCCCCCTCCTCCTCCCCAGACTCCGTAGCCCATTTGGGCTCACGGCCGGGACTCTTGCACGCCGGGGGACATGCGCAGCCCGCATGATGCGCGGTCGCAGCCGGTTCGCGTTAGGCTCTTCTGCGACCCCGACGACCCGTGCGCGTGGCGTTTCCAGGCAGTCTGCCCGCCGCGTGCGGGTCTGCTCTACACGCTGTGCGGCCTCATCGGCGACCGCGGCGACGACATCAGCAGCGCGGACATCTCGACCGACGGGTGCTTGGTGTACAGCTGCTTCGTGCTCCGTTCGGCCCGCCCTCCGCGACTGGAGGATGCGCCGAGGTGGTGCGAAGAGGTCGAGCACCTGCTCGTGCAGGCGCAGCGCAGCGAGGCGGCGCTGGATGAGGTTGCGGCGGAGCCGCAGAACCTGTCTGTGAACTTGGACCTCCTGAACGTGGTGCGGTTCGAGAAGATCTGCACGAGCGGTGGGGTGTCGCCAGAGTTGCGCTACCGCCTGGAGCTGAAAGGCATCAACCAGGCCGGGCTGCTCAAGTACGCGGCGCTAGTGCTGTACCAGAGCCGTTTCAGCGTGCTTCGGGCGAGGATCTCGACCGTCGATGGCCACGTCTCGGACACCTTTGAGGTCTCCACCTCGTCTCCCGAGTCAGAGCGGGTCCTGCGTTCCCACTGGGACGTGCCGCCCAGGGCTGGACTCGAGGAGTCTCGCTCCACAAGCCTCAGCGGCAGTGCAAGCTGCTGCCCGAGCCCTTTCCCTCGAGACCGCCACTCGAATTTTGCTCAGAGCGACGAGCAGCATGCAGGCGACGACTGCGAAAAAGCTCATGATGTGCGGAGAGTGTCTTTGCATTTTGCCAACGGCGACGAGTACTCGGGCGATGTCAGCATGTTCCATGGTGTGGAGATGCGACACGGATTTGGGACCTACGAGTACGCATCTAGCACCCACCAGGCGTACAAACAGTACCGCGGCAATTGGGCGCAGGATCAGAAGAGCGGCTACGGGGTGCTCTTGTACCGCAACGGCGGCGCCTATGCTGGGCAGTGGGATGGAAACCGCAAGCACGGCTTGGGCTTGCTCCTGGAGTGCACGGACCCCACCGGGAACAAGTCGATGCCCATCTTCCGGTACGAGGGCCAGTGGAGCGGTGACAAGCCGCACGGCTTGGGCGTGGAGGAGTCGCTGTCGGCCCCGTCCTTCTTCGGCTGCTTCTGATGGGCTTGTTTTCCATCACCACCACCATAAGTAGGAGGGGGAGGGGGTCCTCCTCCTCCTTCTCCTCCTCCTCCTCCTCCTCCTCCTCCTCCTCCTCCTTCCCCCCTCCAACTCATGGTGGTGGTGGTGGAAAACAGGCCCCTCAGCTTCTCTCGCGGGCAGCGGCGCGGCGGCGGCGTGCGCATCACCCGCAAGTGCTCCGGCGTGCACGGCTCCGAGGCGCTCGACGCCTCGGGCCGCTGGGTGCCCCTGCTCGACGCCATGGGCGCGCTGCTCTGCGCGGCGGCCCCGCCGGACGCGGAGCCCGCGCCGCCCCCGCCGCCGCACAGCGCGAGCCCCGTGGGCAGCTTCACCGACTCCGAGGCCTCCTTCGCGGCCTCCGAGGCCTCGCTCGCCAGCCCGCTCACCGACGGCAAGCGGCATCACAGGAATATATACTGACTCATTCGATGCGTGCGTCGAGAAGACTTGCAGAGTGTGCTCGGTGGCGGACGCTTTCTGGCCATACCGCCTGGGAGACGATATCGATGCATGTGTATATATATATATATATATATATAAGTAGGGTATATGTATATATATATATATGCATATTATACATCTATATCGACATATTATATATGGAGAGAGAGTGGAATCCACCGCCGCTTTACTGTTGAAAATTGCCAACCTTTTCCTCCGGAACCCGGGGGTCGCCCCCCCCCCCCCTCCGAAAATCCCCCCCCTGCTGGAACCCCCCCCCTCCCCCCCTCTCCCCTGGCGGCAAAACCCACCCTCCCCTAACCCCTCCCCCCCCTTCCTATGAAAACCGGGGGGGTCACTACCGGTTCGAACCCCTCCCCCCCGGGGCCCCCCCCTCCCCCTCCGGATCCGGAAAACCGGGGGGGGTCACTGGGGAGGTTCTGGAAAAAAAAAACCCCCCCCCCCCCCCCCCCCCCCCCCCCTACTCCTACCGCCAGCAACGACTCCCCCCCGGGGGGTTTCCCCCCACCCCACCACCCCACCCCCCCCCCACCCCCCCCCCCCCCCCCACCACCGTCCGCATCACATCCCCCACTGGTGTTCCCAGCACCACTGTCCTCACCACCGCTGTCCCCACTGGTTCCACCACCGCCCCTACTGTCCCCACCAGTGGCCCCACCACTGTCGCACTGTCCCCGCTGTCCCCAGAACTGTTCCCACCACGGTTCCACTCTCCTCACTGTGCCACTGTCTCCACGGCCCCAACCACTGCCCGACTATCCCCACTGTCCCCACTGTCCCACTGACTCCTCCGCTGTCCCACTGAGCTGTCCCACTGTTCCCACCACTGTCCCAACTGTCCCCACTGTCCCCACCACTGTCCCCACTGTACCTCTGTCCCATTGTCCCACCGCCGTCCTCGCCACCGCCTTCACCACTGTTCCCACCACCATTGTACCCTCCACTGTCCCACTGTTTCCACCTCATTCCCACTGTCCCCACACCACTGTCCCCACCACCACCGTCACCACCACTGTCCACTGTCCCCCCCTGTTCCCACCGTTGTCCCCACCACTGTCCCCACCACTACCGTCCCCACCACTGTCCCACTGTCCCACTGTCCCCACCACTGTCCCGCTATCCCCTCACCACTGTCCCCACCAACACCGTCCCCACCACTGTCCGCACCCCCACTCGGTTTTCGAGGAGGGGGGGGGGTTCGAACCGGTAGTGACGCCCCCCGGTTTCCCGGATCCGGAGGGGGGGGGGGGGGGGGGGGGGGGGGGGGGGGGGTGGGGGGGGGGGGGGGGAGGGGTTCGAACCGGTAGTGACCCCCCCCCGGCTTTCGAGGGGGGGGGTGGGGGGTTCGAACCGATAGTGACCCTCCCCGGTTTTCGAGGGGGTGGGGGGGAGGGGGTTCGAACCGGTAGTGACCCCGCCCTGGTTTTCCCCTTCTTCCGGAGGGGGGGGGGGGGTGGGGGGGGGGGGGGGGGGGGGGGGGGGGGGAAAGGTTCGAACCGGTAGTGACCCCCCCCCGGTTTTCCGCCAGCAGCGGTAGAACACGCTCTTTCATATATATACGATATATATATATATATATAAATGTATTTGTCATGTATGTATATCTATCTATCTATCTATCCATCTATATATCTTATCTATCTATATATCTTCTATCCTATCTATCTATCTATCTATCTATCTTCTATCTATTATATCTATATATATTTCTATATAGTTATCTATCTCTATCTATATATCTATTCTATATATCTAGCTATCTTATATATATATATATATATATATATATTAAAAATTTAAAAAATTAAAAAAATATCTATCTATCTATCTATCTATCTATCTATCTATCTATCTATCTATCTATCTATCCGTAAGGGCTTCGCCCCATGCCGCCGGCCCCCTGTCTCGGAGAATGGGAGGTGCAAAAGCTAAATCATGAGGTCTGGGCGCCGCCGTGAAGCAGTGTCGGGAACTGTTTGTTTTTCGACCCTGACCCTACGGATCTGCGTCAGGGGTGCCACCGAATTTCAGAGATGTGGCAAATCCCATATGTTTTTGGACCCTGACCCCGCCGATCTGGATGAGATGTGCCACCGAATTTCAGAGATGTGGCAAATCCCATGTGTTTTTGGACCCTGACCCCGCCGATCTGTGTGAGGGGTGCCGGCGAACTTCAAAAAATGTTGCAAATCCCATGTGTTTTTGGACCCTGACCCTGTCGATCCGCGTGAGGGGCGCCATCGAATTTTAGAAATGTTGAAAATTCCCTTTTGGACCCTGACCCCGGCGATCTGCGTGAGGGGTGCCATCGAATTTCAGAAATATGGCAAATCCAATGTCTTTTTGGATCCTGACCCCGCCGATCTGCGTGAGGGGTGCCACCGAATTTCGCAAATGTGGCAAATCCCATATGTTCTTGGACCCTGACCCCGCCGATCTGCATGAGGGGTACCACCGAATTTCAGAAATGTGGCAAGTTCCATATGTTTTTGGACCCTGACCCTGCCGATCTGCGTGAGGGGTGCCACCGAATTTCAGAAATGTGGCAAATCCCATGTGTTTTTGGACCCTGACCCTGCCGATCTGCGTGAGGGGTACGACGGAATTTCAGAAATGTGGCAAATCCTATATGTTTCTGGACCCTGACCCTGCCGATCTGCGTGAGGGGTGCCACCGAATTTCAGAAATGTGGCAAATCCCATGTGTTTTTTGGACCTGACCCCGCCGATCTGGGTGAGAGGTGTCATTGAATTTGAGAAATGTGGCAAATCCCATGTTTTTTTGGACCCTGACCCCGCCGATCTGCGTGAGGGGTGTCAACTTGTACCCACCCCCAGCAAGTCAGAGCACACGCTCAGGGCGTGCTAAACCTGCCCGTTTGGGCCTCTCCCCCCTCGCGCGATCCATCAACAAGGAACAGTAAGCAGCAAGAAGCAGAATTGTAACTGTGGAAACTGGAAGCTGCAACTGGCACAGGAAACTGCGAACCTTCGTCCTACAGCCTGGTGGCCCCACAAGGGGGCCGGCGGGTAGCAGTATTCTTAGTATTTGTATTATAAGTATAATTATTGTTATTATTATTGATGCTATTTTCCGAATCATCTTTATTATTAGTAGTAATATCATAATTAGTATTATCATCATCATCATTATCATTATTATTGTTAGTAGTAGTAGCATTTGTACTATTATTATTATTATTAGTATTATTTGTACTATTATTATTATTATTAATATTACTATTAGTATTACTATTATTATTATTATTATTAATATTAATATTATTATTAATAGAATTAGTATTACTATTATTCTTAATATTATTATTTTTCATTATTATTGGTATTATTTGTACTCTTCGTATTATTATGAGATATGTGTGCAATGTATGTTCGGTTCGGACGTGCGCCTCCAAGGAGGACCCCTTGTACTACCAGAGTGCCCCTTCGGCTCGGCATAGGGGGAAACGGCTCCTGAGCGAAGCGGGCCCTGGACCCTGCTCGGCACCGCTCGGACGTGTGCATTTTTCTTTCGGCGAGGACCATCGAGAAACATCCTTGATCATTTGGCGAAAAAACCACGCACGAAACCCAAGAAAACACAGGAAATGGACGTCCGAGCGATGGCCAGCCTGGGGCCTTCCCCCAGCACGATCTCTCCATCCCGAGCTGCTTCCGGACAGCCCCGGGGCCCGTGGAGGGCCCCGGGAGCCCGAAGGCGGGGAAAGGCTTCAGGACCCGCTCCTCAGGGCTGGACCGAAGCGGTGTGTTTGGTGCTTTCGTGGGCCGTTTCCGTTTCGATGTCGTGTTGCGGCACAGGCGGATTCGAGACAAACACGAGGGAAAACAAACAAAGCATAAAAAACACGAAAAACACCGTTTCGGTTCAGCCCCGTCGGGGCCCGCGTCCCCCCGCGGCGCAGCCTGCGCCCCCAGGCAAGGCCACCCCGGTGGTCCACGCCAGCGGCCTGCACCGCACGGGCGCCCCCGCGGCGGCCGACCGGGCCGCGGGCCGGAGCCGCGGCGGGCACCCCCGCGGCGGTTCCCCGCCCTCCTCGCCGCGCCAGGGCGGCGGGGCGCTCCCCGGGGCGCTCGGCGCGGCGCGCTCCGCGCCCGCGTCGCCCGCGCGGGGCGCCGGCGACGCGGAGGACGGAGGAGAGAGAGGGTGAGGAGGAGGAGGGAGAGGATAGGAGGAGAAGGAGGAGGAGAGGAGGAAGGAAGAGGAGGAGGAGGAGGAGGGAGGAGGAGGAGGGGGGGAGGAGGGGGAGGAGGAGGAGGAGGAGTTGGGGGGAGGGTGAAGGAGGAGGAGGGGAGGTGGGGGGGAGGAGGAGGAGGAGGAACCGGGTGTTGCTCTAGAAGAGCCCCTGGCCCAAGGTGCCCCCAGGATTCCCAAGGAGGCCCCCACGGCCTCCACAGCACCCCCCACGAGGCCCAGAGGGCCCCATGGGGCTCCACGAGGGAGCGAAAAAAGCTGGGGGCACCTTGGGCCAGGGGCACTTCCAGAGCAACACCCGGAAGAAGAGCTGCAGAGGCAGACCTTTTCGCAGCTCGGCGCGGAGTTCTCGGATCTGCGCTGGGCCTCGCTCCGTGGCGCGCGGAGCGCGCCAAGCGGGGCGGCGCCGCAGGCCCCACCAGGGGGGTCCAGTGCAGACCCAAGGGAGATCCGCGGGGGCCGTCAACAGGTGATATGTTTCTGCCGCTCTGGACGCTGTCGTTGTCGTCGTCTGGCCGTCGTCGTCGTCGTCGTCGTCGTCGTCGTCGTCGTCGTCGTCGTCGTCGTCGTCGTCGTCGTCGTGGTCGTCGTCGTGGTCGTCGTCGTCGTCGTCGTCGTCGTCGTCGTCGTCGTCTTCGTCGTCGTCGTCGTCGTCGTCTGGTCGTCGTCGTCGTCGTCTTCGTCGTCGTTGCGGTCGTCGTCGTCGTCGTCCTGGTGGTCGTCGTCTCGTCGTCGTCGTCCTCCAAAGGAGGGCGAGGGCAGCGGCAGCTTCGTCTTCTCCATCCGGGAGGAGAACGGGCTGCTGTCGCCGACGCCGGGCGGCGCGGGCGAGGCCCAGAAGAGGAACAGACACCAATGTTAAGTCGGGCCTGCCCCGCTACAGGAGGAGACGGCGCGGGGGAGGAGGCGCAGCGTGCCCAAGGGGCGATGCCGACGGGCGCGCCGAGGAGAGTCAAGCATCGTTTCCTTCCGCTCGCCCCCGGCGCCCTGCGCGTCGAGCAGACCTGCGCTGGCCCGCGCAGGAACTGGAAACGGAATATCCAAAAATGATCAAAAAATAGTGTGGTGACTATTTGTATCAGCATTTTTTAACCCTTTAGGATTTTTTAGTTTCGTATTTTTAGTTGTTCGCCCAGAATCCCCCTGTAGGGGGACAGGCCCGACCTCATACCAATGCCGCCGCTCGTCCCGGAGAGCCCTCGTCGCCGCTGCTGGATTCTCTTCCGAAGCTCTGGTCAGCGCCCACGCCAGGAAGAGTGCGGCCGTCCATGCCCTGTCACTCCACGCCTCGCCGCTGCCGGATTCTCTGCGAAGCGCGCCAGAACGAGTGCGGCCGGCCACGCCCTGCGGCTCCACGCGTCGCCGCCGCCGGATTCTCTTCGAAGCGCGCCAGGACAAGTGCGGCTGGCCATGCATCTTGCCGTTTTGTTGTTGTCGTGACGTCCCCCCCCCCCCCCCCCCCCCCCCCCCCCCCCCCCCCCCCCACCACCCCCCTGACTTCCGCCCGCTCCTCACTTCTCGCTCCTGCCTCCTCCTCCTCCTCCTCCTCCTCCTCCTCCTCCTCCTCCTCCTCCTCCTCCTCCTCCTCCTCCTCCTCCTCCTCCTCCCTCTCATCCTCCTCCGCCTCCTCCTCCTTCTTCTCCATCTCCTTCTCCTCCTCCTCCTCCCCTCATCCTCCGCCCTCCCCAGAGGCCGCTGGCGCGAGGCACGAGCCAGCCGCGGCGCAGCAGTGCGCCGCGGAGCCGCTGGAGGGGCCCGCGGCGCAGCAGGGCGCCGCGGAGCCCCGCGGGTGGCCCCCCGCCGCGGGGCTCCGCGGCGGGGCCGCGCGGGGCCACGGGCAGGCGCGGGGCGCTTTGCTGCAGTGGAGCGAGCACGAGCTGGCGGCGTTCGTGGCCTGCCTGGGGCTGGGCGCGGACGTGTGCGAGCGGGTGAGGCGGTGCAGGCTCCGAGGCGCGGCCCACGTGCTGGAGCTCTCCGACGCGGAGCTGTGCCAGGAGCTGGGGATGGAGTCCTCGGTGGAGAGGCTGGTGGTGCGGCAGTGCCTGCGGCGGCTGCTGGACGCCGAGCGGAGGGCGAGCAGCGCGCGCGCTCGCAAGGTGGGCGACGTGCAGGGCGACACCGTCCTGGGGAGCTTCGCCGTGCCGCCCGAGCGGCTCGAGATCGTGAGCAAGATGTCCCAGGGCGGCTACGGAACGGTCTTCCGAGGGGTGCTCAGCCCCGGCAGGGGACGCCCCACCGGGAGAACGAGCCTCGTGGCCGCGAAGGAGATGAAGGGCGAGCTCAGAGTTCGTCTGCACGAGTTTCTGAAGGAGGCCTGCGTGATGGCATCGCTGAGACACCGGAACATCTGCGCGTTTGTCGGCGTTTGCTTCGACACGCAGGCGCGGAAGAATTTGATCGTCTCTGAGCTCATGGACTGTTCTTTGTTTGACCTGATCCACCAGCCCGTCAAGCTGCACTGGCATGGAGAGCTCACGGTCTTCAGAGTGCTTGAATTGTCCACGGGCATTTGTGGGGGCCTCGCCTATCTGCACAACAGGCACATTGTCCATGCGGACTTGAAGTCATCCAACATCCTCATCGACTATTCCTCGTCTCCTGCAAAGACGCTGCTGCCGCGCATCTGCGACTTCGGCCACGCCGTCGTGCGCGTCTTCCCGTCGCCGCACCACCGCTGCGGGACCCCGCAGTGGGCTGCGCCCGAGGTCCTCCGCGGTGAGGCCATGGGGCTCTCCGCGGACATTTATTCCTTCGGCGCCATCATGTGGGAGATGCTCACCCAAAAGCTGCCACACACGAGCCTCAGCTTCAGCCAGATAGTGGCCATAGGAGAACAAACAATAACAAGCGAAAGTTCGGAGGTCCGTGCGGATGTCTCGGATCGGCGCTTGACCCCTCTTTGGCGAGCAGGGCGCGCCAGGGACGGCGCCAGAGGCGCCGCCAGGGGCTTCAGCGCGGATCCGACATATCCGGGCGGACCCCCGAAAGTTTCGGTTTCTGCCATGGTTCGTTCCCCGAGGCCACCGTGGGGTGGGCAGGCTGGACGCCAGAGCTGAGCCAGCTGCCGGAGCTCGGGCGGGTGGTAGTAGGGGGTGACCGAAACGGAGGAGGAAGAACAGTGCCCTCAAGGGGCCCTGACCAGCAGGGGTCCAGAAGGGGCCCCCAACGGGCCGTTTCAGGGCCCTATTCTTCACTCCCCATTTGAGCAACGCAAAACGACTGGGCCGTCTTTGCCGGCAATGGCGCATAAGTTGCACGCGTAAGGTCGCGCGAAAGCGTCCTCGCTTCCAGTGTGGCGTGCCGCGCTGGCGGCCCGCGGAAGCCGCGGCGTAATGTCGCCACGCCATCTCGCCTGAGACCCATTTCCGCTCGTCGCTCCTTTTAGACCACCCCCTCGCTCCCCCCCCACGATCCTCGGCCCCCCTCCCTGATCCCCCCTTCCCCGAGCCCACCTCCCCGATCTCCCCATCCACCCACGATCCTCGACCCACCTCCCCGATCCCCCCTCCCCGAGCCCACCTCCCCGGTCTCCCCTCCACGGCCCCCTCGCTCCCCCCCCCACGATCCTGAACCCCCCTCCCCGATCTCCCCCTCCACAGCGCCCCTCGCTCCCCCCCCCCACGATTCTCGGCCCCCCTCCCCGATCCCCCTCTCCGAGCCCACCTCCCCGATCTCCCCATCCACCCACGATCCTCGACCCACCTCACCGATCCCACCTCCCCGAGCCCCACCTCCCCGGTCTCCCCTCCACGTTCCCCCCCCCCCGCTTGGCCACACCCCCACGGCCACCCACGGCCCCGCCTGCCGAGAATGCCCCCCCCGCTGCGCAGCTCGTCCGCGAGGTTTTTTTTTGCCTGGCCAGCGCGCCTTGCGGGCGCCCGCGGGCCGCCGAGGTGCTGGCGCGCTGCGCCGCGCGCCGCGGCGGGGCGCGGGTGGAATCCTGAGGATGCTGGGGCCAGATTCTTTTCCCCCCGACCCCCCCCCCCCTCCTTCTCCTCCTCCTCCTCCTCCTCCTCCTCCTCCCCTCCTCCTCCTCCTCCTCCTCCTCCTCCTCCTCCTCCCCTCCTCTCCTCCTCTCCCTCCCGCCTCTCCGCCTCCGCCTCCTCCGCCTCCGTCTCCCCTCCTCCCTCCTCCTCCTCCCCTCCTTCCTCCTCCTTCTCCTCCTCCTCCTCTCCTCCTCCTCCTCCTCCTCCTCCTCTCCTCCTCCTTCTCCTCCTCCTCCTCCTCCTCCTCCTCCTCTCTCCTCCCTCCTCATCATCATCATCATCATCACATCATCATCATCATCAATCATCATCATCATCATCATCACATCATCAATCATCATCATCCATCATCATCATCATCTATCACCATCATCATCATCATACATCAGCATCATCATAATCTTCATCATCATCATCATCAGCATCAGCATCAGCATCATCATCATCATCATCATCATCGTCTTCGTCTTCATCTTCATCATCATCATCATCATCATCATCATCATCATCATCATCATCATCATCATCGTCGTCGTCGTCATCATCGTTCATCATCATTCATCATCATTCATCATTCATCATCATTCATCTTTCATCATCATCAGCATCATCAGCATCATCATCATCGTCATCATCGTCATCATCAGCATCATCATCAGCATCATCAGCATCATCATCATCAACGTCATAATCATCATCATCATCATCATCATCATCATCTTCATCTTCATCGTCATCATCATCATCATCATCGTCGTCGTCATCATCATTCATCATCATTCATCATCGTTCATCATTCATCATCATTTATCATTCATCATCATCAGCATCATCAGCATCATCATTGTCATCATCGTCATCATCAGCATCATCATCATCAGCATCATCAGCATCATCATCATCAACATCATAATCATCATCATCATCATCATCATCATCATATTCATACTCGTACTCATTCGCATACTCACACACATACACATACTCATACTCATACTCATACTCATAATCACACTCATAAGCATACTCATACTCATACTCATCCTCATCCTCATCCTCCTCTTTATCCCCCTCCTCCTCCTCCTTCCCCTCCTCCTCCTCCTTCTCCTCCTCCTTCTCATCCTTCTCCCCCTCCTCCTCCTCCTCCTCCTCCTCCTCCTCCGCCTCCTCCTCCTCCTCCTCCTCCTCCTCCTCCTCCTCGCCCCTCCTCCACGTCCTTTACCTCTTCCTCCTCCTCCTCCTCCTCCTCCTCCTCCTCTTCCTCCGCCTCCTCCTCCTCCTCCTCCTCCTCCTCCCTCCCTCCTCCTCTTCCTACAGTGGGAGCCCCTGCCAACGAGCACCCTGCTTGCCTCCAGGGTGCCCGGGGTTCTTGGGTCTCGATGGTTCTGCTATGGACGTCCTGGGGTGTCAGGGTCGGGTCTCTTGTGGAAGGTTTCTTGTGGTCGAGTTCCTACTGTAGGACAGGAGGAGAAGAATCGATCAATAAGCAAACGACACTACCCTACCTGCGGCCCTCCATGCTGCGCTGCGGCGCATGGGAGTCCGCAGCGTATACTACGCAAAACCCCACGCCAGACTTGCTGTCATACGCTGATCCCCGTGGGGCCGTAGGTGGGGTGGTGTCGTTTGTTTTCTGGTCCAGAGAAAGAGGAGGACCTCCCCATTGTCCCTTCTCTCCCTTCCCTTTCACCACCAATTCCATCCAGGCCTCCTAGATGGGGTCGGAGTAGATGGGGTCGAAGGATCGCGCCACATCTCCGATGCATCGCCGATGCGGCTCGATGTGGAGCCCGATTTGCTTCTCGTCGACGTCGCCGATACATCGATAATGCATCGCCGATGCTTCGCCGATACATCACCGATGCCCCATGCATCGCCGATGCATCGGCGATGCGGCGCGATCCTCCGACTCCATCTGCTCTGCTCGGACCCCATCTAAGAGGCCTCCATACCACAGGTAAGACAGGAGGAGGAGTAGGAGGAGGACCTCACCATCCGCCCTTCTCTCGGGGAAACGTAAGACTCGAAAACGCCTGAACTCGGGTATGTCGCTGCTTTTTGACGAGCGCGCCCTGGATTTTGACGGTCTTGTTCTCGTGGAGTGTCTGCAGCGGGAGATCGCGCCAAATTGATTGGGTCTCGTATTTTTCGCGATGGCCCCGACGGGCCAACCCGAGTCCCCCGAACCCCAGTCTGACGCCTCCCCGATACCATAGGTAGGACAAGGAGGAGAAGAAGGAGGACCTCCCCGTCCTCCCGTCTCTTCCGTCCTACCCATGGCGGTGGTGGTGGAGAGTCGGCCCCCTCATGAGGATGTTGGCGTCCTTCCTGGGCGCATTCGTGTGCTGAGGGCGCCTCGGCCGCGCGGGCCGGCTCTCGCGTCGGGGCACAACAAGTGGCATAAACAAAGCAACTCGGAGGTCCGCGCGGACTTCTCGCGGCGCCTCCAGCGCCGCCCCTACCGCTGTAGGCGCGCCAGGGAGGGGGGTCCAACGCCGATGCAATAAATCCGCGCCGACCTCCGACGGTTCATGTTTGTGTAATTGTTGGTCTTTCTACCGTGAGCACACTCTCGGATACGGTGCGGCACAGTGCCGGCCACCTGAAGAGGGGAGGCCGTATGCCCATCGCTCGCCGAAGGAACGGTTTTGTTTTCTCATTGCGCGCGCGTAGTTGGATAGTGGTCTCGGCCTCTGGGGGCGACATCACTCGGGGGCGACACGTTGGGTTGTTTTACACATGGGAGCTACACTTGAGGGCCACGCACGGCATATGTCTGCACGCACGAAATGGGTACTGAAAGAATGGGTACAATGCCCAACAGCGGATCTTGTTCATTTTGAACAGGGCTCGCTGTCCACGCCGCCGCGGCCTGTGTCCATTCGAGACAGGAGGCCGCCTGCCCAACAGCGGCCGCTGTCGGTTTGGGACAACATTTGCTATTGGGCATTGTACCCCTTTTTGTCCGCACCCCTTCCGGGCGTCCAGAAGGAATTTCGGCTTGCCGTTTCGCGCCGCTGGCTCAGGCCCACCACGCTGCGGCGCGACACGCTACTACGGATTCCATAACAAAGTGGGGGGGGTCACATTCGGGGGGGGTCTAATTTGAGCTGTCTTGGAGGGTTCGGGGGGGCCTGGGCAAAGGGCCGCCCTTTCATGGATGGTCTGGGGGGGTCTAAAGCTTCTCGTCTGGGAGGGGTGAGACCCCCTCCCTTTTATTACGAAATCTGGAGTAACCACGACCTGATCCCCCAGCGTCCACGCACCGAGCCTGTCCAGGGCCTCCCGCCCCGCGGTGCGGCGCGAAAAGCGCCAGCAGCTCGCGGGGCACAGCGCTGCCGGGGCCGCCGCGGCGGCACGCAGAGCAATGCAGGGAGGAGGGAGGAGGGAGGAGGGAGGAGGGAGGAGGGAGGAGGGGGAGGAAGAGGAGCAGGAAGAGGAGGAGGAGGAGGAGGAGGAGGAGGAGGAGGAGGAGGAGGAGGATCTTGACCGCAGACGTCGTCGAGGTGTCAGCAGGTGCGCGTCCTGCGACAGCAGTGTTTCTAGGTCGAGGGAAAGTAAGACTCGGGTAAGCCGGAACTCGGGTTTGCCGACGTTTTTTGACGAGCGCGTTCTGGATTTTGACGGTCCAGTTTTCGTGGGATGTTTGCAGCGGGAGCTCGCGTCAAATTTCAGATGGCGTCTCGTCATTTTTATGATGGACCCCGTCAGGCCAACCCGCGTCCCCCGTACCCGAGTCTTACGTCTCCCCGACTAGGGGAGCCGGAACCACGGGCCCGCGCGGGCGGCAGTTGGCCGCGCTGCAGAGGTTCTCGTCGGATCCAGGCTGCTTTTTGTGCCCTCCTCCCTCCCCCGGCAGGGGCAACGATACGGGGTGGGCCCTGACATCCTAGCGTCGTGACGAAATCGTGACGGAGGTTTTCTTGCTATGCTTGGCCTCTGGGAGCCATCGCGGGGCCCCGGGCCCCAGGGGATCGTGAAAAAACAGACCGGGATAAAAAGCCGATCTTGGGTAACGGGTCGAGACCTCCAGGGATCCGCGTTTTGAAAACAAAAAAAGCACGACGTTGGGGGTCTGCAGAGAGGCCCAGGAGAGAACGCATCGATCCCCAACCGCCCCTTCATTGCCGATAAGGGCCCGATACACCACCCCGCCCAGGGCTTTTCACCGATCTGACCGCGATGTATGGCACATGATGTCTCGATGCTTCCCCCCTGAGCCAGTGCTCCCCTTCTATTGTTGTCCCCATCACTCCTCTTGCTCCCGTCGTGGAGCCCCCTTCTCATCAGTTGGGAGGCCGGCTCCTTCCAGTTTAATATGGGTTTCTCTTGCGGGGAAATGCGCACGGGCGCAGCAGGACGTGCACGGCAAGGCGTTGGCCATGTATTACTTGAGCTCTTGGCGCGCACATCCGGAATGCGAAGTAAAGTATGCATTTGGCACGAGTGCTGGGTATTCGCGTTGTGCACGATTGCTCTACGATCGTTGGAAGGGCTGCGCTTCGTTCGGCGGTTCGCGCTAGTTGTTGCTCTCAGCTGCCTTGGCATCACCATTCTCAGCTTCGTCATTCAATGCCCGTGTCTGCCCATGCTCCTCACCCTCCCCCTGATCCTCATCATGCTGCTCCACCCAGTTATCCTCTGACGCTCCTCGAGTGCTCTTGAGTGTTCTCGGGAGTCGGCGGAGCCCTCTTCGGGCCCCAGAGGCTCTTCTGGCCCTTTCTTGAGGCCATCTTGGGCCCGCCTTGAGGCACAAGAAGCCACTCGGAAGCGAAGGACGAGAGGCACATATTGTATGTTCTCAGCGGTTTGGGCGTTTCGGGGATGGTATGCTTGGAAAGCCATGGAGCTGTTTTGCGGTGGTCTTGCAGAGCAGGTTATGCGCCTCGCTAAGTTCCCTGGACTAGCTTCCACCAGGACCCCTTCCCCATTCCAGGGGGCCAGACAAGGACCTCCGCGCGCGAGTGGGGAGGAGGAGGAGGAGGAGGAGGAGGAGGAGGAGGAGAAGGAGAAGAGGAAAGAGTAGGAGGAGGAAGAGGAGGAAGAGGAGGAGGAGGAGGGAGAGGAGGAGGAGGAGGAGGAAGAGAAGGAAGAGGAACAGGAGGGGGAGGAGGAGGGGGAGGAAGAGGGGCAAGAGGGGAGGAGGGGCAAGAGGGGGAGGAGAGGGGGAGGGGAGGGGAAGGGGGAAGGGAGCGGGCAAGCTAGGTGCGCTAGTGCCAGATCTGACGTCCGACACCTCGCTCCCAACCCTTACCATGGCGTAGACCTCCTATGTATTCGCACAGTCGGATGTCGAGCAGGGCAATGATCGCAAGAGGGTACGCGAATGATGGGAAAGCATGGCGTAGAAAAGCACGGCAGAGCATAGCATGTCATAGCATGGCGTGGCATTGCGTAGAACATTGCATCACAAAGCATAGCAACGCAAAGGCATCGCACAGCGGTGCACAATGCAGCATCGCATTGCATGCCGTGGCATGGCATCGGATGACTTGGACGGTAAGTGGCCGGTCTACGAGAGGGTAGGGCTTGTCTGGAATGCCGGCAACATGTCCTCCGCAATTGTGCTTGCCCGGTGTGGGCGCTTTCGCATGCCAAGTGCCGTCCGGAGGCGCGGGAACGAGGCCAGCGCTGCAGCGTGAGCACGATTATGAATGACCGAATGAGGGCGGCGCTTCAGCGGGAACACCATCTTGGAATAAGCGGACACGACCGGATTGACAAAAAAGCGCGGGGAAATCTTACCCCAGTGCGACCCTACCTAGAAGTAGGAGCCCCTAGGAAAGCAGCATTAGTTGCTATGCCATGCCATGCCATGCCATGCCATGTTATGCTGCGCTATGCTATGCTATGTTTTGCTATGATATGCTATGATATGCTGCGCTATGCTATGATATGCTAAGCTATGATATGTCATGCTGCGCTGTGCTATGCTAAGCTATGTTATGCTATGGTATGCAAAGCTGTGCTATGCTATGATATGATACGATATGATATGCTGCGCTATGCTATGATATGGTATGAGAAGATGCTATGATTGGCTATGCTATGCTATGATATGCTAACGCAGCGCTGCGCTATGATAAGCTAAGCTAAGCTCAGCTAAGCTAACCCTCTAGGCAGAGCCCAGGTAGGGAATTACACCCATGCTAACTACCCGAACAGAAAACTAAACTGGAAACGCTAAGCTAAGGGAGCGTAGCTGGGGGAACCGCGGGGCTGATACTGGCGGAACCGCCTGGGCCGGTTCCCACTGCCCGGCCTTTTTTAAGCCAAGAGGGTAAGAACACTTCTAGGCAGAGACTAGGGAGGAGGAAGAGGAGGAGGAGGAGGAGGAGGAGGACTAGGTAGGGAACAATCATAAAATCTTGTGCGTAAGCAACAATACGCGGAGAGCACGGGGCACTCTCCTGACAGAGTCAGGGGAGGAGAGTAGTATTCATATTGTGTAGATGTAGAGGGAGGCGAAGGGGGAGGGGGAGGGGGAGGCGAGGGAAGGGGGGGGGGGGGAGACGAGGGGGGGGGGGGGGAGGGGAAGGGGAGGGGGAGGAAGGGGGAGGAGGGGGGAGGGGAGAGGGGGAGGGGGAAGGTGGAGGGGGAAAGGGGGAGGGGAGGGAGGGAAGGGAAGGGGGAGGGGGAAAGGGGGAGGGGGGAAGGGGAAGGGGAAGGGGAGAGAGTAGTATTCCAATTGTGTAATGTAGAGGGAGGTGGCGGGGGAGGGGGGGGAGGAGAGGGGGAGGGGGAGGGAGACGAGGGGGGAGGGGGGGGGGGAGGGGGAGGGGAGGGGGAGGAAGGGGGGGAGGGGGAGGGGGAGGGGGGAGGGGGAAGGGGGAGGGGAGGGAGGGAGGGAGGGAGAGGGCGGGAGGGAAGGATGAGGCCTTTGACTCGCTCGGCTGGCACGCGGTCAAGTGGGAGGTGGGCGCGTCGCGCAACAACCGCCACAAGTGGCATTCGACGAAGCACAAGGAGCTCACAGGCTTCGCGGCGCCCACGGAGCAGGCCTTCCCAGCCTGGGATCGCGAGCTCCCACAGGTGGTGCTCGTCCTCTCCTCCAGCGACCGGGCCAGCGGCCGCCAGATCTTCACCGACTGGAGCACCACCTGCGTACACTCAACCTACGCTCCACGCAGGGGTGCCCGGGCCGACAAAGACGGGCCGGCGGCCGCCCAGGCGGTGAAACTGAAGCGAGAGCGCTACTCCCCGCTCGGAGGAGAAATGGTCCCCCTAGTCCTCGAGACGGGGGGCCGGCCCAGCGATGGAGCAGTCAGCTTTGTCCGCAGCTACGGAGCCGGCTTGGACGACGGCGACCGCTCCGAGCTGTTGGGCGGCCTCCAGATCAGCAGGACCCTCCAAACAGGGAGTGCCAAGATGCTGCTGAGCGCGCTCGGGCGTTTGGCCACCAGGAAGACGACCGCGGTCACCTGCAGGGCACGCGGCGCGACCGCCGCCAGCGCCGCGACCGCGACAACCGCCAGCACGACAACCACCACGACCATCGCCACCACCA